ATGTCGTTGAGGGGCCCTGGTATTCTCCCGCTCGGCATTCTGGAAATGATGACCAATGGGAGTTGGTCCTCTAGCTTGTGACCCGATCGGGGTTCGATCACTGGGACTGTGGTGCGCTGTTGGTGGGGCGCTACGTCGATTATCCTGATGGGCATGCGAACGGGATGATGTTGTAGTTGTTTCCGTGCGTGGAGTTTCCCCTGTAAAGTTGGACCCTCCTTCCTCCTCGTTCGCCATATGCTGCATGACCTGGGCCATTTCTCGCATGGCCTGAGGATTCCTCCTCAGAGATTCGGGAATCACAAAATCCCCATCAAAACGAGGATACGATCCCCGGCTGGATTGTCCCTGAGGGTTTTGACTCCCCGGGGTGTGACTCCTCCCGTGACGGCGTGAACCGTCGTTTGTATGATAGGAGCTGATTCTGACCATTTTTGAAAAATAGAGGTTTTTTGGATGATTTGAATGTGAAACTTTTTGCAAGTTTCCCACAGACGGCGCCAATGTTGAAGGTAAATCCCGTAGATCCGAAAGCCCAACACGAACTTTGGATATATCAGGAATGGCACAGAATCAAAGTGTATAAACAAAATGTAAAATGTGAACTCATTAATACTCGAAAACTCACTTGTATTAACTAACCAGTCTGATTACAAGGTGTTTCCCGATCGGTAGGTCGGAAACAATGCTTTAATACAAGAAATAAGAGCAATGATGCTATTCTAGAGCCTGAGTATTGAAATGCTAACCCTTACAATGACTTGAAACCTTCTATTTATACTAATGGAGAGCATGGGCTGCCCTATGCTGATTGGCCGTTGTTCCACTGACTTGGTCATCCATGCTTCCACTTGCTGATGTCACAGTCTGGCATTAATTGCACCTGGCCACTTGCTGGTTGGCCGTTGCTCGAACGGGATGTTGGGCTATGCTGAAGATGCTGTCAAATTGGCCCAAGTATGATATATAGTCCGAACCCCGTTCGGTATGTCTCCTTACTGGGCCAACCCTTATTTGGGCCGAATCTCGTTCGGTATTAATTCTACCTTGATTATCTCATCATAGCGTGATGGGCCCGTTGCTTGGGCCGGATATCTTGGGCCTTCCGGAACCGGGTATTGGGCCTCTGGATCAATATCCCAACATCACGCATAATAACATGTAGCTCGAGCATAAGATGATGCAACTTCGTATATTATCAAATGTAACTCCAAGCTAGAATCAAAAGAAACAAACTCAATGTCTTAAAAACCTCTAAAAACATATAAAATTGATAAAAATACTTGGATGTTTTATGCGTATATTATCAAATGTAACTCCAAGCTAGAATCAAAATACTTATTCTATAAATATAATATAGAAAGAGTGTATGCATATAGAATATATTACAAAAAATGTATGAATATAAAAAAAATATTACAAAAAATAGTGTATGAATATGAAATGCAATGTACTTATTTTATTTAGATTATTAAACTTTTTGTTATGTATTGATAAAGAATAAAAAAATAGATTCAATTATAATTTAAATTGAAGATAAGGAAAAGTAAAACTGCAATTAAATTTTTAATATTTTAATTTGATGGAAACGGAGAAGAATTGAAGAAAGGAAAATAAAGAAGGAATAGCAATAGAAAAAGGACAGTTGGTATACCGTGGGAGCAGCTCACGGTGAGCATGCTGCTCCCACAGAAAAAGCGTGTTACTGTTCACACGCGTGAACAGTAACCCCTTTTTTGTTTTTTCATTGTCCCAATAGCGGAATAGGTGTAACTCGCGTGTAACAAAATGTAACTCACGTTAATAAGAAATGTAACAGCAAACAAGTCAAAATGTAACTTGTCTAATACGAATTATAAGAAATAAAACATTGATTTTAATGAAAACAAGGAGTCTAATTGCTCAATTACTTTACTTAAATAGTTTATATGTTTGGTTTTTATTATTCAGGAAATCATTTTTTTTATCTTTTTTTGTCAAAAAATCATTTTTTGGCCAAAAACTCATTTTGTTTTTGCGAAAAAAATGATTTTTTTATTCAATAGCAGGGGTTAACATAAATGGTGAATATCTTTTGTTTTTAATATTAAGTCCATAAAAAAATATTTTTTGCCAAAACACATATTTTTTTTGGAAAACAATTTTTTTTTGCATAACAATGATTCTTTTGTTTCAATAGTAGGCTTTATGTTGTGATGTAATTCGTATTATAGAAAATGTAACCCTCGTTGATTGAAAATCTAACTTTAGTGTATACAAAATCTAACTTGTTGAGGCAAACTCAAATGTAACCCACGTAGAGAAAGATGTAACTCAAGCACAAGAATATGTAAATCGTGCATATTAAAAGTAAACAACCTTAATGACTATAAAACACAAAAAACATATAAAAGAGATAAAAATTATATTATAGAAAAAAGTAAATGAATATAAAAAAATATTTTACAAAAAAAATGTATAATAAATATAAAAAAGTATACAAAGTAAGAAATAGTGTATGAATATGAAATACAATATACTTATTTTATGTGGATTAATAAAATTTTGTATTAAATTGGTAAAGAAAATATTAATTCAGTTATAATTTAATTATTTCAAAATAAAGATAAGTAAAAAAATCACAAATAATTAGATATAACTCACACATAATTACATGTAACTCGCGCATAAAAGTATGTAACTCGCGCATAAGAAGTTGTAACTCACGCATAACAAGATGTAACTCACGCATAATAACATGTAACTTGAGTATAAGATGATGTAACTTCATATATTATCAAATGTATCTCAAAGCTAGAATCAAAATAAACAAACTCAATATCTTTAAAACCTCTAAAAACATATAAAAGTGATCAAAAAAAAAATATTATAGAAAAAATGTATGCATATAAAAATATATTACAAAAACATGTATGAATGTTAAAAAGATATTACAAAAAATAGTGTATGACTATGAAATGTAATGTACTTATTTTTTTAGATTATTAAACTTTTTGTTATGTATTGATAAAGAATTAAAAAATAGATTCAATTATAATTTAAATTGAAGATAAGGAAAAATAAAACTACAATTAAATTTTTAATATTTTAATTTGATGAAAATAGAGAAGAATTAAAGAAAAGAAAAATAAAGAAAGAATAACAAAAGAAAAAGGAAGAAGCTCCAGAAAAAGAAAGAAAGGAACGTAACTTTGCAAAAGTGGGATCGGCACACCATGTTGAGGTGGGCTGATCCCACCATATAATTTGCGGAAAAAGGAAGGAAGAAACTTCAGGGAAGGAAAGAAAGTAATGTAACTTTGCAAAAGTGAGATCGACACATCATGCGGAAGGTGAGCCGATCCTACAGTATAATTTGCTTATCAGATTAGAATCGATATGCTCAACTTATTAGATTATTGAACCAAAAACTAGATAACCAAACTCTTGCTAAATACGGGGTACTACTTTTTGTTAATTACATGAATCTTAACCAATTAGGGAGTACTTTTTTCCGGCATCTTACGCGGTTACGCTTTCCCCACAAGCCACCCAATGTGCTTATTAACGGTTATTATGTTCCTTTTTTTTGTATCAAAAAGCTTTTATTCCTTCCCCTTTTTTAATCATTTCCATATAATCGTGAATAGTCATGCCTATATTAATAGAATTATTAGAGGTTAGGTTTCATGAGGACACATATCCCTTTAAAACACTTTCATTACTCGGTCGTTCGCCTTCTAGCACCACTACACCGTCTCCAATGAACCTCACCGATATTACCCTTGACCCACCTGCCCAGTCCACTACCGAAACCACGACCCAACTCCCTCCACCGCCCTCATCACTTTCTCGGTCACCTCTCAGTCCCAACACTCCTCGTGTACCATCGTCCCACACATCCTTCCCCATGTCCCCTTCTACAACCACCAGCCCGCCACCATCACCTCCCTCCTCCCTCGATAGTACTCCGTCATGCTTGCCGGACACATCTCCGGACACCTCCTCGGCTGACCATGTCTCAACCGTACCCACCTCCCCTATACCCACTACGGTAGTCAATCAGCACCCCATGCAAACCCGCGCTAAGGCGTGAATTTTTAAGCCTAAAACAATTTTTAATTTAAGTACGATTATTACTCTTGCAGATCCTACCTGTTTTACTGAGGCTAATAAACATTTAAAATGGCGTGAGGCGATGACTGATGAATTTAATGCACTCATTAATAATAATACTTGGGAGTTGGTGCCCTTTGCAGCTCTAAGAATATTGTTGGGTGTAAGTGGATTTATAAAACTAAATATCATTCAGATGGATCCTTAGAGCGCCATAAAGCTCGATTAGTTGCACGGGGTTTTAATCAGTAGGCAGGTATTGATTTCTCTGAAACTTTTAGTCCTGTCGTAAAACCCACCATCGTTCGTATTGTTTTTACTCTTGCTATTTCTTTTGGGTAGGTTATACGACAACTTGATGTTAAGAATGTCTTTTTGCATGGTCATCTAACAGAAGAAGTTTATATACGTCAACCCCGTGTTATTATTCATCCTCAGTTTCCTAATCATATATGTTGTTTGCGCAAGGCCATTTATGGTCTTAAGCAAGCTCCACGGGCCTGGTTCCATAGATTTACTAGCTTTCTTCTGCAACATCATTTTTCCTGTAGTAAATCTGACAACTCTTTGTTCATTTACCGCCTGAATAATACCATTATTTATTTATTATTATATGTGGATGATATTATTATTACTGGCAATCCTGAGTCATCTATTACCCAATTTATTTCGATTATCTCTAATCATTTTGCTATGAAAGACTTGGGTAATCTCCATTATTTTCTGGGGGTCGAGACTATTCGTTCGGCTAAAGGTATGTTTCTCTCAACATAAATATGTTTATGATCTTCTAGGCCGTTTTCATCTTCATACAGTCAAGCCTGTTCGCACCCCGTTAGCTTCCCGTACCACTCTTTCTCTTTCTGATGGTGAGTTATTGTCGGATTTTACTGAGTATCGCAGCATGATAAGAAATATATATTTTTTATAAATATATTTATATACTAATACTCGAGGGTATGTCCTTTTCAAAGAACCTCAGAACATAAAAACACGCTGGACACGTTCAAATTGGCACATAGAAACGCGCAATGTTTAACGGAAAAACAAATCAAACTTAAAACAAATTTTCTTAATTTTTAATCTTAAAAGTCATCGGAGTCGTAGCCTAGATCTTCTTCCACTTTCTCGGCGATGTGGTCCTCTAGCGCATCAAACCCTTCTGCCAGTGCGAGTCCACCCAAAGCCCCTGCCACCGCACCCACAGCCAATCCGGTCCCCATACCACCGAATTTCCCCTTCTTTTTCTCCTCGCGACCGTAAACGGGCTGCCCGTAACTGCCCTGCCCTGCATACGCATAACCCCCGGGCTGTTCGTAACCGTAGCCGGGCTGAACATACGGCTGAGGAGGCGCGTGAGCGCCATAAGGGTAGCCCGTAGGAGGAGCCGCATACGGGCTGCCGTACGGCGGAGGTGCCGGATATTCCCTGGTCGCCGGCGGAGGAACGCCGTAGGGAGGCGCCAGGTATGGATCTCGGGGTTGGATCATCGGCTCGCGCACAGTAATTTTGACCTCTAATTTCCCCTGCGGCCTACCAGAAGGGCGTTTGAGGGAGATCTGTCGGTCGACACGGCTGCCGATGCCGGCATCGCTTACGACGTCTCGGAGATGAAGCTTGGCGGAGCCGATGAGCGGCTTGACGTCCTCGGCGGCGAAAGCGTGGACGATGTCGATGTACAGGGTGGAATCTTCGATGTAAGAATTGAGCGGAATCAAGAGAGTATCGTTCCAGACAGGGTTGGTGTCGCCGTCCTCGTCAACCCTGGTGGAGGACTTGGCTTTGGGGTCCACCCAGACGACGGCGTACGGTTTCAGGCTGCCGTGACGCCAGTTGACGTTCTTCAAGTCCTTGGCGGAGGTTATCGTGACGGCGACCTCGAATCGCGATCCCATTTCCGGGAAATAAATTTATTGTGATCTGGATGAGTAAAAAGCGTTGCTATTTTTGGGTTAGTGAGGTGTATTTATACCACCGGGAGGAGTCGTAGACTCGACGTCTTGTAGCTGCTTTCCAGAATCGAGAGCGCGTATTCTCTCCTGAAGTTTGTCTCCGGCTGGATTTATTTGACTCCTAAACGGAAAAGCATAACCAACACTTTTTACACTAAAAGCCAAAACTTATACTCCCTCCGTCCCTTATAATTTTGTCAACTTTCTTTTTTTGGTTGTCCCAAAAACTTTGCCATTTTCCTTTTTAATCAATCAATATGTGGCTTCTGTTATTTCTCGCTCCTCTGCACAAATATCTACCACACAATTTTACTTTATTATTCTACGTGTCAGTCAAACTTGGCAAACCTTTGAGGGACGGAGGGAGTACTACGTATTAAATCAAGAAATTGATTGTCAGTTGACTGATAATACAATGAGAAATAAATCATACTCCTCTCGTCCCTTAATACTTTGTCATCTTTCCTTTTTGGAACGTCCCAAAAAACTTTGTCACTTTTCCTTTTAATCAATTATTTTGTGATTTCTGTTATTTCTCTCTCCTCTACTCAAACCTCAATCACACAGTTTTTACTTTATTATTTTTCATGTCGTTCAACTTTGACAAAATTTTAAGGGACGAATGTAGTAACTTACTCTCTGATATGATATAAGAAATGTGTTAGAGCAAAAGTATGAGCAACATGATTCGTATACCGTTTACAAAAAGAAGTACTAAAATTACTCTTTGTTTTCATAATTGTTCTCATATCAAGGTGAAGATAATAGGAACCTTCACCTCTCTTAAGACCCTGCACCATGGTAAGAGCATCCATCTCGATCTCAATTCTCAACATTATTCCATCCTTTCTCAATAGCACATAAATCAACATCTCTAACTCCTATCACCTCAATCTCCGCTACAGACCATCCTACCCTACCAGAGACACCCTGAGCTTTGATAACTTCTCATTGCACATCCCTTGCTATCCAACCCCAAGCTTGAATCTCAGTAACTCACCTGCTTGGTTGACTGCCCCATTCACATTGATCTTGATGTTTCCGCTTCTGGGACATTTCCACCTCGCCTCGGGGCCACAGGTCTGTTCTGTCCTAGCCAAGTTAATGCCTTGTGCATCCCTCCAGCTTGCAAGCATTCTAGTCGCTTCTTTTCATCACGTCTGCCGCCTCTTGTCGCTGCTCTTTCCACACCGTGTTATTGCGTCTCTTCGGAATGCTCCATAAAATAGAGAGAAATATGCATCCGGCCTCCATGTTCGGTCCTTGTAGCTGCTGCCACAATCATTCCCGGCCTCCGCTAGTGCATGTGTCAGTCTTGTCGTAATCCTTGCCTGTTGCCATATTTCTCAAACATGATCACAGGAGCGCATCACAGGATCCAAGGATTCTATCTCATCACTATAGAGCTTGCAACCTCCATGTATAGCCATGCCTTTCCTCTTTAAAATATTCACAGTAGGTAAAGTATCATCCAATACCTGCCAAACAAAATATTTAAACTTCGAATATTTCATCCCAATCGATTAAAAAAGCGGGATAAGGGTCAAATTGGACACTATGGTTGTATGAGAATCTCATATTGGACACTAAGGTTTCAAATAGACCAAATTGATCACTATGGTTACTTGTGTATCTCATATCGGACACTAGAGTTTTAGATTGATCAATTTTTACGCTTTTCTTATCATTTTGGACACCCGTCAAAGTTTTTCACCTTGAAAGATATGAGTATTTCTTTTTCTCTTGGTTTTATGTACCTAAAAAAAACTTAATTTGTGTATTTAGATTTAGAATATATAATTAGATGCTTCAATTAAGAAAATCTATTAGAATGTAGTTGAATTCTCTAATATTTTTAAATCAATTTAACAAATCGATATTTCTTAAAGTTCCATAAAAAAATCATATGAATGAAAAGTCCTAAATATATTTTTAAATTGCTAAATATAAGAAGTTATTAATTAAAATCAAATCATATATTCTAAAGGAAAGGAAATGTAAGACTAACAATTTTTATTAAAGGAAGAAGAGAATCATAAGTGAGTGTCCAAAAACTATGAATTTTTGAAATTTCAGTGTCCAATATGAGATACATATGTAACCATAATGTCCAATTTGGTCTATTTAAAACCTTAGTGTGCAATATGATATTCTCATGAAACCATAGTGTCCAATTCGAGCTTTATCCCTTAAAAAATCATCCCACTCCATTAAAAAAAGAAACAAATCCATCCCACTCAAATTTTGTATTCATCTCTTTTAGACATCTAATTGAATGTTTTTTCCTATTTTAAAAAGTAATAACATTCTTTAATTATAATTAAATAATAAGATTTTAAAAATATTGCAATATAATAACACACTTATTGAAATCGTTATGTTATATGTTCATCAACATTATTTTCATAATATATTTAAATTGTTTTATTTAATTATCTTCTAAATAATGGTGTTTTTTTAATCAGAAACTTAAATCATGACATAGGTAATACTTTGAATATTCATTGATAAGGTTGGGTTAAATAACATTGGTGTAAACCAAATACAGAAAAAATCACATCAAAGTAATTAAGAAAAAATAGACTTCTTTGCCCTATAACCTCTATAGTCATACCATAAATATATTGTCCAAAGATGGAATTTTGAGAAAGTGATTATAATAATCCATGGGGATAATTTAATGAATTTGAGATATCTTTTAAATGGTGAATTGGAAACCCACATATAATTTGGTATACAATTCGATAATACTCAATAAATAGAGGCTAATTCTAGTGTATGTGTAACACTTACTTTCTCCATGTACTTTCTCCATGTGGTTCAATTAAAATATATTGGACTGAAATAATTTAAACATAATAAATGATGAATTATTAAATGGACTCATCTTTTATTCTTTCATGGGTCCCTTAACATTTACATTGTTATTCAGCCCAATACATTTAGTGCACGATCTAGCCATGACGACAGGCCTAGTTTGTCAGATTTTTCACGGGGAGTTTGAACATCACTTTATTCCACTCAGTCTTATAGGTGTTTCACTATTAGAATAGACTTATTGCTAAAAGCTACTCAGTCAATATCATTCTCTTCTTCACTCTGAATGTGATCACGAAGCCCTCCAAATGTCACAACCAGTTTAATTTTACAAAGAAAATCTAAACATCCAATTGATCTAAGCTTTAAAGATATTTTGTGAGTAAACTAGTCTAAGAGCTTAGTGAAGTGAAGTGAGCTAAGAGGACGAGTGATAGATTGGCGCTTCCTCTTTTGCTAGTTGTGATCGTATAAGCTCATATGTTCCTCTTAGCTACACACTCTTAACTCACCACACTTCTTTTGTATTTATAGACTTGAGTCGTTGAATATCTCCCGTTGACTGAAGAGATTCAACCTTGAGCGTTGATCAATCCACTTGGTGACTATGAAGCAACATAACTCTTTTTGTCTTTATGCGGCGTGACATGTGCCCTTTTTGACTGTTTGTGAGCCCATTAGGTTTTTTGCTCATTTCAAATGGTATGGCTGAATCTTCAATTATCTTTTCCGTATACTCCAAATCTTATCATATAAGTAAAAGTTCTATCATTGAGTGCTTCTGCTGTACATGGTGATGAAACGGTTAGCAACACAAGAGGGGGGGGGGGGTGTGGTGTGAATTGTGTGTGTGTGTGAAACCGTGGCAGATTTTCGCACAGTTCTAGTGTGGGGTTCAGGGAAATGCGAAATAGTAAAGTGCACAAGGATTTAACGAGGAAAAATCCCTTGGCTCAAAGGGATTAAAAAACCTCGACCTCCCTCGGAGGAATTTGAACAACTCCACTAAAAAGCCTTTGAATGATTACAAGGAAAACTCTCCTAGTCTACCCTTGAGCCACCCCGGCTCTATCCTCTCTAGGAAGAGTTATGCATCTCTACCTTGCGGGTAGAGAGCCTCTCAGCTTTACAACAAAGCTTCTCACAACACACTAACCAACCCGATGATGATACACTTAGCCAATCCTCAATACCCCAATTACAATATGAAGAAGGGAAAAAGAAACTCTGTCTGGAACTCCGTGAGCAGGTTCAGGTGCCTTGGACTTGGTAAATATTCTCGTGTATATTTCTCAATAGAAGCTCGGTTAAGCACACCACTTTCGTCTGGTCTTCAGTCCAATATATATAGCATCCGTAGCCTCTCCTTCCCTTGGTTGAATATTTGGACTTTCCTTGATATTTTGAATTACCTTCCTTGAATAATATGTCTCATACTTTGAGCTAACGGCATATGTCAATTATATTGATAGACACAAGATATTCTAGAATATGTCAATTGAGAAAATATCTAATGCATGAAACGGTCTCAAGGTAATATAGCAAGGAAAGAATATATCTACTTATTATAGCAAGAAGCAACGGTTCACAATAGGTAATCAATATTCTATTCAAAAGTATTTAAAATATTCAATCATGGATGTAGATAAATTCGTATAGTAGGAGATGCAATCAAATCATATGCTACCAAAAATATTCCTTTTAATGTATTTTGAAAGAGGATCATCAATATAAAGATAACAAGATTACTTTCCATAGTAAGAGATACGTAACATGGCAGCAAATACTATTTAGCTTATTTGAATTTATTTGAATCATGTAAGGAAGCTTTCCATAGTACATTACTCAAATCATGCAAGGACCTTAATTTAGCAAGCCACTATTACTTTCTATAAAGTATGAAACACAATTAAGGTTAACTTACTTAAGTGGTGTCCAATCATTTATAAAAAGATATTTCAATTGTGCCTCTTTCATGATTACCTTTTATAAAGTATAAAGACATAATCATTTATGAAAAGATATTTAAATTGTGCCACTTTCATGCATAACATATCTAGGTACGTAGATATGGCATTATCATGCACTAACATATGAATTCATTTATTCATTATGTACGTCAATCATTCACACAAAACATAACTAAGTATAGTTCTAATTTTCGTTCCTGATAGAACGGAGAGAAGTTCTATCCGCTGGTCTACCTGCAGGGTTAGTTATCAGTAGAACCAATGTGCACTTATAT